ACAACAACAGCAAGTTTCACAGCATCACCAGCAGGAAGAAGAAACACAGCAAGTTTCACAGCATCACCAGCAGGTAGAAGAAACACAGCAAGTTTCACAGCATCACCAGCAGGAAGAGGAAACACAGGAAGTTTCACAGCTTCACCAACAAGTTTCACAGCATCACCAACAAGTAGAAGAAACACAGCAAGTTTCACAGTATCACCAGCAGGAAGAGGAAACACAGGAAGTTTCTCAGCTTCACCAGCAGGTAGAAGAAACACAGCAAGTTTCACAGCTTCACCAACAAGTTTCACAGCACAATCAACAGAACAAGGAAACACAGCAGGTTTCACAGAATCACCAACAGGTAGAAGAAACACAGCAGGTTTCACAGCATCACCAACAAGTTTCACAGCTTCACCAACAGGAGGAGGAAACACAACCGATTTCGCAGGAGAAGGAGAGCACAAATACGGATTCACAGCTTCACCAACAAGGACAGGAAACAGCACAAGCGTCACAGCACCAGGGAGGCGAAGAGGAAAAACAGCAAAATGATTCGACTGGTGAAACAGAACAGATCTCGCAGCATCACCAACAGCAAGGGGAGATGGGACAGGTTTCACAGCATCACACGGAGCACGTCTACCCAGCTGAGTCCAGGAAAGAGGTGTGGTACCTTCCTGATCATTTTTTTTTTCTTCTCCTTTTTCTGTCATTCTCTTCCTGTTCGCCTTCTCGCCCTTCTCTCTCTCTCTCTCTTCATCTTCCTCTCTTTTTCTCTTTCTTTTTCTCTCTCTTTCTCTCACTCTCACTCTCTCTCTCTCTCTCTCTCTCTCTCTCTCTCTCTCTCTCTCTCTCTCTCTCTCTCTCTCTCTCTCTCTCTCTCTCTCTCTCTCTCTCTCTTTCCCTCTCTCTCTCTTTTTGTTTTTCATTTTTCATTTTTTTTTAGTTATACGTCTGTTTCTTCCCAATAAACTGTCCGGAGCTTCTCATTCTGTTGAAACCAGAGGTGAGCGAGGTGGGGAAAGGGAGGGAGGGGTGTATGCGTCGATTTCTTGAAGACCCTCCTTTTACTCTTCTCCTTTTTTTACCCAGACGTGCCCACCCCTGCCCACCGTGACAATTTCCGTCCCGACTTACATCACCACGACGGCCACCGGTCACCACACGCTCCTCTCGACTGTCCTGGAACCCACTTACGTCACGGAGACCGAATATGCCACGGAGACCTCGACTCTCCATCGCACCGAGACCGTCACGGACCTGCAGGTGGGAAGAAATGCGATCTCTCTCTCT